CCCCCCCCCCCCCCGACCCCCCGCCCCCCCGGCCCCGCCCGCGGCCCTCAACAGCCGCGGGCGCTCACATGGCGAGCGCTCAAATGTCGGGGGCGCTCAAATGTCGGGCACTCAAACGTCGGTTGACGATAATTTTGAACTATTTGTAAAATTGAATTGATTATACTACCATCGACGAATTCCATACATTGATTATATCAGATTTTCATTTGAAAGTATTAGTAGATGCTAGTGTATTTTACAAATAGTTCAAATGATATGTACAGAAAATGAGCAATACTCAATTCAAAATAAACTGTTTAGAAGTCTTACATTCTTTCTAACAAATCTCTTTAGAAGTTTTCATTGACAAGATCTGCTCGATATATCAATTTAATCGAGAATTCTTAAAGGTTTATTCAATTCAAGTCAACTGAAAATTTATACTCAATAGTCAATTGTACATAGCAAAATTGAGATTTTATAATGTGGGCGTGTAGACTTGAAGAAGGGAAAAAAAAATTAAATTTTTTCCAATATTTTGTTTCGCCTTATTGTTAAATGACGCTCAAAACAAATATTGTTCTGTAGCTTAAAAAAATAAATTTTTACCGTTTGTTTTTGGTATTTTAGCTGCCTTTTCAAAATGGCAAGAGTATAGATTGTTTATTTAATGTCATGATCAAATTTTATAATAAATTTGAAATTTTTAATTTTATGTCATCCAGATCGAGAACTTTCATAAGTTTATCCAGTGGGAATAGGCTGCAAATTCAGATTCTTTATAGTCGATGATCTGTACGAATCCAGGTACTCCTAAAAATAAATTTTCTCATGGTTTAACTCAATAAGTTTTTGATAAATTCTTGGTGGAGTCCAAAAGTCAAATGACATCGAGAACTTTCTTCATCAATACCTCGATCCAAAATTTGTTATGTCCAATTGACTATGAAGAGTATAAATTTTCAATTGATTTAAATTGAATAAACCGTTAAGAGTTCTCGATTAAATTGATATATCGAGCATATCTTGTCAATGAAAACTTCTAAAGAGATTTGGAATCTGGAAATTTCAAGAGTGAAGAAGCAGTACCTGATGTTGGGAAGGTGCTATCGGGTGATAACTATTAATTCAGGTTTAGGATCGTTCTTTGTAACAATTTGTTTCAGTTGCTTGTCGAGATCATAAATCGGCTTACCAATGAATGGAATTTCTATGAACTGAATGTGTTGATTGACTTTTGTATCTTTGTTATGATCATGTTCGTTTGTCTATACATTTTATTTATTCTTATTAATTAATTATCTTTTAACAAATCTTGATGGATAGCCTGTTTGTAATGTTACTTGTTGTATATGTTTAAATTCATTGTGTAATAATTCAAAACTGAAGCAAATTCTAGTGACTAGATAAGTGAACTTACAGCCGCCTTTTTAAACAATTTTGAAACACAGCTATCTCATTTTATCATCGGATTCATTGATGTTTTCATTCTGTAAACATTAGTAATAAACTGATGATATGTTCAGTTAACTAGTACATTTAGGAATAATATTGTAAAATCGTTCTCTTTTTCAAATGTAAAATTTAAATGTGGATATAAATTGTTAAAGGTGTTTTGGATTAGGTTTTTATTAGCATCATCCACATATCGACGCCATGCTAATATTGCAGAATTATTGCCATTGAGTAACTTGATAATATGTTCATTTTCAATGTAAGCCACAAATATTGTGACGAATATAACCGTCAACGACGAACTCATGGATATGTTACAGTTGAAATTAAAATTCAATGGAGTTTAAAATTTCACCAGTGGAGATTAAAATTTTACTCTCTACTATTGTCCATTCAAAAAGAGAACGGTATATGACTCTTTTTGAATAACTTTCGATAGGAAAAAGCTAAAAAGCTAAAGAGCTCCAATTTTCACCATTCGAAAGAGGAGACTTGGGGATATGTTTTCATAACCAAAATTTTTCTCAGAAGAGCTTTCTGAAACAGGTTTTCTAGGGGATCTTTGCAAAACTAGCTCGTGTGTAAACATTTTCCAATAGGATTGTGTTGATTTGTTTCCACAGCCTGATAGCCCAGGATGCCCTTTTCAAATTGAGAGTCAAGTGAGACCTTGATCTTCCGCGCTTCGGGCGTTGTATCGGATTTCCTACGAATCTGAGGACTGGCACCCATTGACGATTCGTAGCCTTCAAGACGGATGAACTATGCGTAATCGACCACGCTGTGTCTCGTGGCAATATTTGTTTCTAGAAAAGTTTTAAAATTCTACCGAAAAGCGAGTTTTACGAAAATTTGTGTTTTCAGGCTGTTTTCACCTAATATTAAAAAAGTTGCTAATCACTCAGTAAACATCAAAACGACTTCAAAATTTCAGATTGTGGAGTATTTAAGCTATTCTTTATCGTGTTTATAGGAAATCTCAAAAGAAATTTGACAAAACCTCAAGGTTTTCCAAAAGGTTTCCTGCAAAACCGAACTCCAAAACTATGCTTTTTCTAATTTTTCCATTGTACGATCACATTTAGCGGAGAAAATTAACCATATCCTGGAATTTTGAAGCCGTTCTGAATTTTTGCTGAGTGACTAGCAACTTTTNAAAACTCGCTTTTCGGTAGAATTATAAAACTTTTCTAGAAACAAATATTGCCACGAGACACAGCGTGGTCGATTACGCATAGTTCATCCGTCTTGAAGGCTACGAATCGTCAATGGGTGCCAGTCCTCAGATTCGTAGGAAATCCGATACAACGCCCGAAGCGCGGAAGATCAAGGTCTCACTTGACTCTCAATTTGAAAAGGGCATCCTGGGCTATCAGGCTGTGGAAACAAATCAACACAATCCTATTGGAAAATGTTTACACACGAGCTAGTTTTGCAAAGATCCCCTAGAAAACCTGTTTCAGAAAGCTCTTCTGAGAAAAATTTTGGTTATGAAAACATATCCCCAAGTCTCCTCTTTCGAATGGTGAAAATTGGAGCTCTTTAGCTTTTTAGCTTTTTCCTATCGAAAGTTATTCAAAAAGAGTCATATACCGTTCTCTTTTTGAATGGACAATAGTAGAGAGTAAAATTTTAATCTCCACTGGTGAAATTTTAAACTCCATTGAATTTTAATTTCAACTGTAACATATCCATGAGTTCGTCGTTGACGGTTATATTCGTCACAATATTTGTGGCTTACATTGAAAATGAACATATTATCAAGTTACTCAATGGCAATAATTCTGCAATATTAGCATGGCGTCGATATGTGGATGATGCTAATAAAAACCTAATCCAAAACACCTTTAACAATTTATATCCACATTTAAATTTTACATTTGAAAAAGAGAACGATTTTACAATATTATTCCTAAATGTACTAGTTAACTGAACATATCATCAGTTTATTACTAATGTTTACAGAATGAAAACATCAATGAATCCGATGATAAAATGAGATAGCTGTGTTTCAAAATTGTTTAAAAAGGCGGCTGTAAGTTCACTTATCTAGTCACTAGAATTTGCTTCAGTTTTGAATTATTACACAATGAATTTAAACATATACAACAAGTAACATTACAAACAGGCTATCCATCAAGATTTGTTAAAAGATAATTAATTAATAAGAATAAATAAAATGTATAGACAAACGAACATGATCATAACAAAGATACAAAAGTCAATCAACACATTCAGTTCATAGAAATTCCATTCATTGGTAAGCCGATTTATGATCTCGACAAGCAACTGAAACAAATTGTTACAAAGAACGATCCTAAACCTGAATTAATAGTTATCACCCGATAGCACCTTCCCAACATCAGGTACTGCTTCTTCACTCTTGAAATTTCCAGATTCCAAATCTCTTTAGAAGTTTTCATTGACAAGATATGCTCGATATATCAATTTAATCGAGAACTCTTAACGGTTTATTCAATTTAAATCAATTGAAAATTTATACTCTTCATAGTCAATTGGACATAACAAATTTTGGATCGAGGTATTGATGAAGAAAGTTCTCGATGTCATTTGACTTTTGGACTCCACCAAGAATTTATCAAAAACTTATTGAGTTAAACCATGAGAAAATTTATTTTTAGGAGTACCTGGATTCGTACAGATCATCGACTATAAAGAATCTGAATTTGCAGCCTATTCCCACTGGATAAACTTATGAAAGTTCTCGATCTGGATGACATAAAATTAAAAATTTCAAATTTATTATAAAATTTGATCATGACATTAAATAAACAATCTATACTCTTGCCATTTTGAAAAGGCAGCTAAAATACCAAAAACAAACGGTAAAAATTTATTTTTTTAAGCTACAGAACAATATTTGTTTTGAGCGTCATTTAACAATAAGGCGAAACAAAATATTGGAAAAAATTTAATTTTTTTTTCCCTTCTTCAAGTCTACACGCCCACATTATAAAATCTCAATTTTGCTATGTACAATTGACTATTGAGTATAAATTTTCAGTTGACTTGAATTGAATAAACCTTTAAGAATTCTCGATTAAATTGATATATCGAGCAGATCTTGTCAATGAAAACTTCTAAAGAGATTTGTTAGAAAGAATGTAAGACTTCTAAACAGTTTATTTTGAATTGAGTATTGCTCATTTTCTGTACATATCATTTGAACTATTTGTAAAATACACTAGCATCTACTAATACTTTCAAATGAAAATCTGATATAATCAATGTATGGAATTCGTCGATGGTAGTATAATCAATTCAATTTTACAAATAGTTCAAAATTATCGTCAACCGACGTTTGAGTGCCCGACATTTGAGCGCCCCCGACATTTGAGCGCTCGCCATGTGAGCGCCCGCGGCTGTTGAGGGCCGCGGGCGGGGCCGGGGGGGCGGGGGGTCGGGGGGGGGGGGGG